TGGTGCTAAAAGAAAATCCTGATACTTAATTTTATAAAATCATAATTAATATGGTTTTTTTTTGTGAATAAGAGTGTTAGGATATCAAGATTTCACTATGCTTCGAAGTTGAGAGGCTAAAACATGAGAATTTAAGATACATATCTAATAAAATCAAGATGGATATAGTAAAAAGTATGTTTTAGACTTGATTGTTGGAATAGCACCTATTGAAATTAAAATATTTGAAAATATGCTTAAGTTGTTTTAACATGTACCAATAGCAACTGCACCAAGAAAGTAGGATTATCTATAAAGTTAAAAATAAACTTAATCAATGAATGGGCAATTAGTTGGACCTTGTAGTCCTGACTTCTTCTCTTGATTGATTTGCCCCAAAAAAAAATTAAGCTTACTCATAGAAGTTGATCTTAAATACTGAAGCTAGATTTTGAATTGCGTTAGAGATAACTACAACAATTAAGCCCAACCGAGCCTCAAAAATTTCAACACATTATATTTATTAGTCAAGAAAAATTAATAATAAAACTAATTGAGGTGACATCAAATTTATCCCTGACCACAGCATTGTTTTTTCATGGAGGTTATGCACGTCATCCATCAACAAAGAGTAATGCCTATGGATGACCATTTAAAACTCATTAAAGGTGGGAAGTGAACGCTTATTGCAATTCACTATTGGGGTTAGCTTCCTAAATGCCTAATGAAAAAGCAGTTTCTTAGTATTTAAGATTATTGGCAATAGTTTCCTCTTTGGGCGGGTTGTCCTACGATTAATCTTGGATTATCTCAAACCCAGTACAAAGGATGCGATGGACAAAAAGAACTTTCTTTGGACCACAAAGCATCAGAGTTCTTTGATAGTATTTTTCAGCTTTGTAGGTTGGGCTGGCCTGTAAGCCCACTGTACAGTGTTCAATTGAGGGCTGTTTTTGGTTGTCATTTGCTTTTATTTTCGGACTTCGCTTGATTTAAGCATTACATAGAGGCAACAAATTCCAATAAAGGCAAACTGCACTAGGATCTACCTACCCAGTAAGATTACCTTATGTTGCACGCAATAAAATGAATGTAAGATGGTGGAGTCCCTTCTCAATATGAATAACTTGAGCTACAACAAAACAATGCCCATCTCAGTTTAGCCAGTTCCTTTGCATGTGCTTGCTTTTATGTTTTTTTTTAGTTCTCTATTTTTATATATTTATATATATTTTTTTCATGTTCTCCTTTTCTTGCCACTCAATCAGGTTTTGCTTTTGGTATTTTGCTATTCAGTACTCTTTCATTCTTGATTTTTTCCTTGGTTTAGGTTTGACTTTCTTTCTTAAAGTCATCTCTCATTCTTGCACAATCTATTTCTTTTTATTACGTTAGATTTTGTCCCTTGTTGTTTGCCCTGATCTTTATTGCCCTTTATCCACAATTTCTAATATCTGATTCTTTCCTCAATGTACTTTGTCCTTAGTGCCATCCTTAATTTCCCACTTACTTCCATTGGAATGTTGTTGTCTATCACCAACAAATTTAGTATTTGTTGATAATTTTATCTTTTATATTGTTAAGGTCACATAGCAATGTGAATCTATTAGAAGTTCTTACATTGTTGTAATTTTTTTATATGATCTCATGTTTAACCTATACCATATAGTTTTGAAATAAGTACTTATTTATTGAGAACTATTGAGTTGATATCTTCTATCTTGAGACTAAACTACTATAAATTGATGCATTTTCTATTTCCACTTTTAGATATTGGTATTTTTCTGTAATTTGAACCATGGTGGTTGCACTACTTCTTAGTGCTTCTCACAAAATGATCCCTTGCATTTGCTCATCTTTCTTGGTTAATATCACAAGACACCTATGTTTGTACAAAAATCAAGTTTAAATGCTAATACAGATAATAGAAATTGACTTAATGTTAGCTCATTTTTCATCTAATCTAAATTTACACATCATAATAATTATTTCATTATTAGACAAATGCCTAAAATTTTGTTGACCGTCTAAACCATATGTCCTATGCATTCGGTGTCATGTTAACTGGGGTTTGAAAATTTAGTTCTCAAATCTATGAATTAAGACTCGTGATGTGAGACTTTTTTTTGCATCAACATTTTCAAGTTTAAAATGAATGGATGGATGGAGATCTTAATAAATACCATTTATGAAGTTCCTAAATTTAATTTTAACTAAATCATTAATTCACATCATCGTTTGCTTTATCCAAACAATTTTGGATCAGCTTTATGAGTTGTTGGCTCTACTTTGCACAAATATTTTTGCCCAACAGCTAATCATGTGACGCAGGATGGAGCTGCTCCCGCGATAGTGCGGGAAAATTCTGCAGGCGAGTGTGAGAAAAGCCAAGTTTTTTTTCCAATAGGAATGTATCTGAGGAGGTGGTGGTGCTCCGGCTGTATCCTACTTTCGGGTGGTGTATATCTTCCTTAATATTTTATCCTACCTTCTCCTCCCTTCCCCCTTTTCTGCCAGCCACTTTTGGGCCTTCCTGGCGGCTGGCCAGCCCCATTTTGCGAGCAATATTTTTATGAGAGCAATTTTGCTGTCCAGCTATCAGTCCATGACTCCTGCACTTTGCCGGCCCTTACCTACAACCTTATATTGTTGTCCAGCCATCCTACCTTCTTCCCAGCCCTCTCAACCCCCTGTTCTCATTCCATTGCAGCTGCCCTTGTTGCCCTGCACCTCCCGAGCACCCACTGCCTGCTGTCGATCACGTTCAACCATCCATACTTGCTGTCCCTGCAGTTCTGCACCTCGCCCTTGCTGCCACTAGCACTCATGTGCTGCCACCACCCCTGCTAGTCATCCCGATCCACCTAGCCGATCTTCGTCGCCATTGGAATACACTTAGAGGTGTTTGCATGTGTCATTTTATGTTTTGTATCGTTATCTTCAGTTTGTTTTGCATTGTAACCTTTTCTCTATATTAATAAAGGTTTGTTTTGTGTGTTTCTGCTGTTTTTTCCACTTGGTCCAGTATCATATTTTTTTCATCCCTAAATTTGTGTTTCTCCATCTCTATTGTATTTGTCCAAAGTATTTAGAGGTAATTTTTCAGTCTTATCTTAATAAATGCCTCTACCTTCATCTTTCTAATGTTGGCATTTCTAGTCCTTATTGTCAATTGTTCGCCAATAAAGTAATTTTCTCTGTTATTTTTGTTAGTTTTGACACATTTATCCTAAGATTCCCATTTTAGTTACACTTAATTTGTTTATAAGCGATTACTTTATCTATCAATGCTAGATCCATATTGTGTAGCCAATCTGATTATAATTTTGTAAAATTTAAAATATTTCTCTATGATATTTTCTTATTAATTTGATCATTACCACCTGGAAAAATTCATAAATAAATAAAGCAGTAATCTGTTGTAATGTCAAAGCAGGATGGATACTCGATCATGAAATGATGTTTTTATTTGACATTTCAATAATATGATGATGTTTGTTTTAGTATGTTTAAATATTTGTTCAAACTTATGGCAGTCTGGACTAGTCTTGCTTTCTTTTATTTCAGCTAGAAATGAATGTCTTGGACATATGAGATTTGCATGAATGATCAAAACATGATACTTGAATGTCAATTAGTGTTGAATTTGGTGGCAGAGTCTTCAATATGCCAAAAGAGGCTTGGGGAGAATTCATTTCTTTGTGCTATGTGTTTTGTGAATATGTGTACTATGTTTTCTAATGTTTGAAAGAGAATATACTAAATAATCCTTGTAAACTTCAAAATTACAGAAATTGACCTGAAGGAAAACAGGAAGTAAGCTAACCCACATCTTCTCTAGTTATTTGCCTCAAGGTTTCTATGGCACCTTCTGATTTCTCGGATAGGTAATTATTTTTTCTTTTCTTTTGTTTCTTTTGTCTGCTCCCAGTTTTGCTATCTATTATCTTCAAAGAATTCAACTGCTTCACATTATGATGATTGTTTAAATTGCTTAGATTTATTTTTTGATTTCTTTTCAGAAAGACCATAGAGGAGAGACGAAATAGAGGGCCTCCATTTATCTTATTACTGCCTCTTATCTATGCCCCTATTCTTCCACTTAGTACGTTATCTGGTCTAAATTCTTGTTTTGACGGGATATTATTTGTTTGCATTTCATTTGCGGTGCCTAAATTCTATGCATGCTCATCTTACCGTGTCCTGTTTTTCATTGTTTGAAATTAACAGTTAGAATTGGCCTGAGGCGTAGGCCAGTGTTAAGGGATAGACTGTTCTTTGGGGTGCTTGCCGGTGCCTTTGCTCACGGCACATATTTGGTGTATCCTACTCAATTATTGTTAATGTTTTGTTTTTCATGGTTTAGAACTTTAATCTTCCTGGGTTATTGTCTTCATTCATATATTTTTGCGTTTATTATTGACTTGATTTTTCTGCATCATGAAATTTAGATATGCTTATATTACCTAGGGATACCATTTTATTTGATGGCTGTAAATTTTAAGGAGCATGCACTAGTTATTATGTGCGGTGTTCAATATTTTATCTATTATTCTCTAGCAAGTTTGTTGTGGTGTTAACATAGAAATATGTTTTATTTTGCTAATGGTGAACCATTCTTAGAGTATTTTTAGGTGTTTCTTCATGCCTTTGTTTTTTTGGTGGCATTCTATTTGCGAAAGAGGGAGGGAATGAGTGGGGAGGGATCATAATGTTTATTATTCATTATTCAATTGTGCATTTTCATAGAAAAATGTCATACAACCTTCAAATTAATGTGTATTTTAGTTTTCATTGCTCTATTTCTACAAATTATTCTCATATTCTTATATTTTATGCTCTTATGTTTGCCTACATGAATTATGAAGCAATGTCCTTGAATACTTGCTCTCAAGATTAGCTTTGAATACTACTACCTTTTTTGAAAGTTTCAATGAGCTAAACATGAATATGTTGTGGTCTTGCTTTGCTCCGGTCATTTATTATTAGTTCACATATGAACAAGCCTACGTCCATTTGCTAAAAAAAACCACAATCTTGTTTGGCTTATTCTAAATTAAAAAATAACGATAAGCCAAGCTGATGGTTAAGTGCTTCAATAATTTTTTTTTAATTGATAACTATATTTGCATGATGAACAACTTTTATAATTTTTTAATATAGTATGTTGGATTCAAATCTGTTTATGGTTAATGAAAATATTCTATTAGCAATACTTGCAAAGTTTTATTAAATAGAATGATAAATCTAAGAAAAATAATAAGAACAAGAAAATGAAGAAATAAATTCTTAGAGAGAAGCCCCGAGATTTTATGAATAGTTTTAAGCATCATCTAACGACCAAAAATTGTCATTTGACCATTAAGTTATAGGGTTTTGGTGTTATAGAAAAAAAAATATTTTGACTATAAAAATAAATAAAAAACTATATTATGAGACTTTTATATACATGTGGAAATACTCTTGAGAATACATGACAACTGTTCAACTTATTATTGGCAGAAGTTGTTGGTTAGTAGCCAAGGTTGATTTATCTTGATTTATCAATGAAGGCGTTAATTCTCTAGGTGAAGGTGCCGACATTTGATGAAATTGTTTACCTTGGTTGGACGTTCGCAAGTAGTTCTTAGCCTTGGGTGAATAATCTTTGCGCTTGGGTGAATTGGGTCTTGATTAGTAGGCTTGGTGATTGGGCGACTAGGCCTTGGAATTGGGCTAGTAGGCTTGGCGAGGTCCCATATGCTTTTATTATTCTATCATAGACTTACCAAGTTTCTTGAGGTTCGATGAGCATGTTGTCCTTACCAAGGTCAAACTTGTCTCGAGTCGGTCATAATCAAATCGTTTCTTTGATACATTTGGGTGTATATTTAGTATTCTGATTTTTTACATCTTTGGAAAGTGTCTTATAAAAAACTCAAGATAATTAAATGCCATAATTATTTTTATTAAATAGTAGGGAGAAAGCAATAGAAATTCTACTATTCGGATGAGCCCATTAGTCCAATAGGTTGCATAATCGTGTCTGACATCGCGAATACTACTCCCTCCCGAAAAATAAGTATAAACCTCGACGATAGACTCAATCCTACAAACTAAGAGATTTGTGACATCCGTTTGGTCTACAAACTTTTTTTATGTATGACCGACAAGTTCCCCTATCTAATACAAAGATTAAATAGGGTTTATTTTACCTGGGTTTCAAGTTCCCTATAGAGGCAAACCCCTATAGTTACATCTCAAATGACGGAAGTCACGTGAGAAAACTCTCGATAATGATTAGTGGTTTTAGTCTTCAAGAATTCAAGGTTTAAGTTTTCAAGGTAGGATAAGGAAAATCAAGTGGGAATGACTCAATACGGACACTTATTTTCAGGAGTCCAAAGGAAGGAGAAGGTAGGGGATGCCATTGATCCGAGGTAGATCTTGGTGACTTCCCAAACTATCCTACAATGTGGCTACATTTTTTTGGAGACGATGTTAATTAATTGTTTGATCCTGCCAGTTTTACTATTTGGGACTTACACTTGCATAATACCTGATTATGCAAATACCCCTCAGAGATATAAGGGTTTACATCTTATCGTACGACAACCTCGGAACCTAAGTCGAGTTAGGACTCATGTCGCACAACATTGTTGTACAGGAGCCTAAAAAGGGAGTGTGAGGATTTACGTCGCGCTAGGCGAGCTACCTCGAAGTCTTATGGGTTATTATTATACTAGGATGAGATAATGCTGAAGATCTTCTTGTTGTTCGCTCCAAGCTCCTCGTCGTATCGCCCACAAAGTTGGCTCCAAGCTCTTGTCGTCGCGATGGCTCCAGGGTTTAAATGTTTGAAAATTATAGTTTATGTTTCACAGTTTTGGTGTTAAAGTTTGGTTTTGCATACAGAATGAGTAGATTGCAGGTAAATAAAAAAAAGTAATTGAAAAGTAAAATGCAGTAAAATAAAATGCTATAGATAAACTGTAAAAGCGTACCTTGGCATCTGCTACTGTTGTGTTATTAGTGTTGCGAGCATAGTATGATTTGCAGCAGATTTAAATAAACTTGCAAGAAAATTAAACAAGGCGAGAAAACCCAACACGAAAGTCATAAAAATGAGTTGTAAAAATCACGAGCAAAAGAAACTCTGTAACCACATATAGCAGATCAAGACTGGGTATAAGACCTTGGTGAAAGTGGGGGGGCTCAGAGCTGGGCTGTGTGCTTCCCGATTTTGAGCAGGAGTTACCGGCCCGACAATCTACAGAAGGCAGTCCTTAACCTCAATCCAAGTGACTAACCGTGGACCTTTATAAATTTTCATAGAAAGGTTTTCATGCAAAAGTTGTTCAACTCTTTTTTTTTATATAGAGTATTTTTTAACATGCAAAAGGGATTTTATTTTATTTTTCGTAAATATTTTGTAAAGTCTTATATTCCACAGACTAGTTACTCTAATCGTGCTAGAACTACTGACAACCTAAGAGTGTCGGGGGCAACGATCCCACCAAGAGTCGGCGAATAGTATCATGGTCCTTTCCTCTCTCTTATAGAAGATCCTTGTGGTAGGAGATACCATTCTAATAATTCCACTTCGTATCCCTCGTTTAATCACACATAAACAATGTCGTCATCGCCCTCGCCACCTAGACTTTAAACTCATTCTAGTCCGATGATCCATATGTGGCGTTAACAAATTTCCTCAATTGTCAGGAGGATTTGAGTGTAATATTCAAGCTCAAATCCCGGTGCACTGGGTTTTATTGTAGGTT